CCCAGGTCTGCCAGTCCACAGGTACTGCCCCTGATCTCCACGCAACATTGCAGAGGCGTGTCAACAAGGACAGCCCTACAACGTCCAGAGCCTTCAGGAACTCGGGGCGGACCTCATCCACACCAGGGGCTCTGCCACCAAAGAGTTGTTTAACTGCCTCAGTGACCTCGCCCCCGGAAATTGGCGGGTTATTCCCCTCATCCCCAGACTCTGCTTTTCCCCTCATCCCCAGACTCTGCTTCCTCCTCGGAAGACGTGTCAGATTAAGGAGGTCCTCGAAGTATTCCTTCCACCGCCTGACTATTTTCTCAGTCGACGTCAGCAGCGCTCCGCCAGCACTATACACAGTGCAGGTAGAGCACCGCTTTCCCCTCCTGAGACGCCTGACGGTTTGCCAGAATCTCTTCGAGGCGGTCCGAAAGTCTTTTTCCATGGCCTCTCCGAACTCCTCCCACACCCGAGTTTTTGCTTCAGCCACTGCCCGAGCCGCATTCCGCTTGGCCTGTCGATACCTGTCGGCTGCCTCCGGAGTCCCACAGGCTAACCAAGCCTGATAGGACTCCTTCTTCAGCCTGGTGGCTCCCTTCACCTCTGGGGTTACCATTTATTCCATTATTACTATTATTCCATCACTACAAATGCAGTGACGTTACTTGGCCAGCAGGTGTCACCATCCTTCATACGGTGACTCATATTTCAACATTGAAACTTAAAAGTGAGTCAGAAAGGGCTCTTTCCGGTTGACTCGTTGCTACATGGACGTCGTTCGCCAGGTTCAGTGTTACAGAAAGAAATAAGACAAATGGTGTCCAGTCTGTCTCCAACACACATCTGCTTTATCGTTCTTTATGTCTCCTGAGTCCTTTTCTAACTCCTCCTTCTTTCTCCCAGACACCTGATGGAGGTGCAGAACCTGCAGGTCAGTCAGAAGCAAGAGATCGAGGAGCTGTACCGGAGGAAGGGGAAAGTCCTGCCCCCTGGAATCGTTCCTCCCGCCGCCATGTTGAACAGCCGGCAGCGGCGCCTCTCCATGTCTGGAAACAATCCCTCCTCTCGCAGGTTGGATATGCTGCCCCCTGCAGGTGGGAGGACTCCTGGCAGCCTGCAGAATAACAGACTAATGGAAGTCATTTAATACTGAATCATCTGTGTGTGTGTGTGTGTGTGTGTGTGTGTGTGTGTGTGTGTGTGTGTGTGTGTGTGTGTGTGTGTGTGTGTGTAGGTATCATGAGGAGAACCTCGATCAGCAGCAGCAGCAGTGGATCTCAGGAGAGAGCAGGGAAAGGCGTGACCTTTGCCCCCGAGCACGGCGGCATGGTGAGTGTTTGAGACAGTCAGGAAGAGTTCAGTAAATCTGGACTTTAGTTTTTAGTCTTTAAAACTTTACCATCAGGCTCAAGTCACATCTGGAGCTTCGTGTCTTATTTTCACTCTCATGAAGTCGGTTATGAGCAGCTGACTGTTGTCCTTACGTAACACTTTGTTCCCACACACACATTCATACAAACACCTCTAACCTGACTGTATCACTCTGACGGATTCATCGGCGCAACTTGGTTCAGTATCTTTCCACGTCCTGAGCCACAGACGCCACTGCAGCAAAACACTTCTTTACACACAGGAAGTTTTACTGCAGTGTTGTTAGCCTCCAGAGGCGAAATCCACAGACCAGCAGAGTCCACTTCAGAGTGTTGGGTGGAGGCTTCAACGTAAAGCTGATTCCTGAAGAACGTAAAAGAGATGTGTCCAGATTCTCTCCTTGTGCTTTGAACGCCACACTAACATGTAGAGGAACTGTGAGCTCTGACTGGCTGGTTTAGAGGCGGAGCTTAGACTCTGAACAATAAAATGCTAACGGTTAAAAAGACGCGTTTTAACAGCTTTTCTTAAAAATAATCATCATCCATACCGGCTTACCTGATGAGTGTTCATCAGCAGGAAGAAGAGAAAATATCACAGAAGAGCAAACGCAGAGAAGGATCACATGGTGTCTGAAGGACCAATCAGAGTGAATGTGGTCATCTTTGTCCGCATTAACGATGGTTCTGTTTATGTGGACGGCGTGTTTTCAGTGAGAAACGTTTCCTCTTTTCTTTTTTTTTTCTTTTTTTTTTTTCGCCTGTCCCATTTGGTTCTTTAGCCATCAGAATTGTTGTCTGAAGACCAACAAGGATACCCAATGGATTTACTTTGCCAAATGGATCATCGTGGCATTGCCGTATTGGTCCATTTGGTCGATCTTTGTTTTTATTATTTATTATATTTTATTTTCAGATGTTACAGACAGGACAGACATGAGTGAGGGATAGGAAAGGGAGAAAGAAAGAGGAAGGAAAGGAAAAACAGAAGGGGAGAGGGACAGTGAGAAAGGGGGGAGAAAAAAAATAAAAATCTCCTGGATCACCTGTTGAGAGAAGAATAGAAAACAAGCAAAAAAAGACAAAAAAAAAAGAAACAAAGCAACATACTAAACACAACACCATCGCATTAATCTAGCTAAGTGTAAACAGCAGTAAATACTAAATATTCAATGTTGTTGTGCAGCACGCAGGACAGATGTGCTTCGAAGTAGCAGCCAAGAAAGGTGTAATTTGGGTCTACGAGCAGTGAACACCTGTGTGCATACCTGTGTGGATCAGCGCGCTTGTATTCCAAAGGTTTCTCCATGTAATGATCTGCTAGAGGGTGTGGGGGGGCCACAGCCCCGTCCTCCAGGGTGTGAAGCAGGTATGGAGGAGATCAAAACTCCAGACATCCAGAGGCCCCCAGAACACAAGAGACCATGGAAGACCAACAGAGGGGCAGCCGCGCCACTGTCCCAGAAAGAGCTGAGGAGAGTCCCAGATGAGGGCTCACTCAGCAGCCGCGGAGCAGAAGCCAGGGGGAGTTGCAGTGACGCGCCCGTGAGCTCCGCCGGCAGCCAGCCGTGCCTGAGTGACCGAGCCCCAGGCCGAGAGGCCGGGGGCACCCCACCCCCGAAGTGGCCCGAGCGAGCCCCAGGCTCCAGGCCCCAATAAGCGGCCGCCAAGGAGTGAGCCGGTGTGTACCTGGACGCCCACCCCCAGACACAAAGAACCACCAACGCACCGACACCTGAGGGAGTCCGCCACCGGCAGGGGAAGTGGTGGTGGGTGGAGATAGGCCTCCAAACCTTGGAGGGCCTGAGGTGTCCCCAGAGAGGTGGCGCCTGACACCCAGCCTGACATATAGACACAGACATACAGGCACACACAGACACAAACATCCATTCCCACCCTCATGCTCTCATATGCACTTACTCCACACTCAACCAACGTGGAGACAGACATAAAGAGACGTTGTACACACAATCACACTCCCCAAGCGTACTCTACGAACCGGGTCTAGGTACCCTTGCCCCTGGAGGGGGGAACTGCACCCAGACCCAGGTGGTGTTACCCTTTTCCCTGCGGTGGGGAGAAGCAGACCGCCCCGACTCCGCAGCAGCAGGGAGGCCCCACACCCCAGACCGCAGTCGGACGGCCAACTCCACCTAGCCCCCCCCCCCCCGCTCCAGCAGGTCACAGAGAATGGGGGTGAGAGAAGACTCCAAACCTCCCTCCACCCGCTCATTGTAATGTTGATGCATGTGTGTTCTAAGGTGCATTTAAAACCCAGGAGGGCATGGAGCTACCTGCCAGAGAGCAGCAGGTAAGCGCATGGTCCCTCCTGCTAACCCTCAATGACTAAGTGTATTTAAAATTGAGAGGTGGGCAACGACGCCAGGGGTGAGGTGTACACCCTGATGGTAATTTGGACTCCGTGATTGTGCCCACCCCCAAGATCCTATATGTATGTGTAATGAGAGTGTGAATAATGTGAATGTCTAAGTTGTGGGATAAAATTGAGGCAGAGGCAGCCAGAAGGGGACAGAGGGGGGGGTAGCCTCCTCTGCACCCTGGTGACATACCCCTACTCCAAGGCCCTGCATGTGTGGGTGGTTGTGGTGGAGCGGGAAGAGAGAGGCAGCTGGAGATGGGGAGGGAAGGAAGGGAGGGGCAGGTAACCCCTCCCTGGGGCCAGCTCCCCCGCTGACCCCAGTAGGCACTCCCACACTCCGCGACCCGCCAGGGAAAGGGGGCCCAGGCCCATCCAGACCAGGGCCCAGTGCAGTGAGAAACGTTTCCATCTCTGAACCGAGGAGACAGCCTCCACCTGTCACCATCTCACAGTGCAGCCTTTCTTCAGCTCGTAGCCATTGATCAGTGATCAACACGATTAATGATCAATGATGGTGGAACTGACAGCCTGTTGTTAGTCAGCGGTGCTACTTTCATCGTTATGTAAACATGTCAGTCAGCTGATGATGACAAGGAAACATTTCTCACTGAAAACGTTACGTTCATGACCATCACATTTAACTGACCTTTGACCTTTGTCTTCCAGTGAGTGAGGAGCTGCTGAAGATGAGAAGATGATCACGGTGATGATGAAGAGTAATCCGCAGTGCAATACTTTAATGTCTCGTAGTTTGAAGTGAACCTCTCAGCACTTTAGGAAGAAAGGTTGAACCTCAGAGGTCAAAGGTCATCAGACAACAAGCTGCAGCTGTTCGGCTTCAAAGAGAAGCTGAGGGTCAAGTGATGAGCTGCGCCCACAAACATGAGATTATAGAATCTGCTGCAAACCTTTTAAACTTTATGAGTTTTGTTGTGATGAGTGTGGAAACTTTTCTGACCTCCACTGCCGCTCGTGTAGTCGAGGACGAGCCGAGGACGGTCTGTGTGTCTGGACGACCATGTGCCTTATCTATCATCATGTAGAGATGAATCCGTGTGAGACGCCGTCTCCGAGATTAAACGCGTGGACACATGAAGAGATGAAATTATGAATTTTAACAGTTTTGTTTTTTTGCTCCTGTTTAGAAAGTTTGTCCAGATTTTCCTCCTCATATTTGTCTTAAATAAAGTTTCCTGTCTGACGATGTGCTGATGTTTTTCTTTTCAAACTGATAGGTCAGAGTGACGTCGTTACAGTGAAGTAATCAGCTGATTTCCAGCTGTTTGGGTCAGCAGGATTCCTGCATCAGAGATGCTGAGATGAGAAACTCGCTCTGCCTGCTGATCCAGGTTAGAGCAGCTGCAGTGACACCTGGTGGTGGTGGGAGGTCATGACCTCTGTGTCTTGACATGACTCTTATGTCAACCTGAGCTGTGCTTGCAGAGGTGCTATGAACCAAAGACATACAAATTTTTTACTAATGAAGCAGACCCACAGACCTGCAAATCATTTACAGCTGTTCCAAAATAATAAATGATACAATAATAAAAAGGAGCCAGCTGAGGTGGTTCGGGCATCTGACAAGGATGCCCCCTGGGCGCCTCCTGGGTGAGGTGTTCGGGGCATATCCCACCAGGAGGAGGCCCCGGGGCAGACCCAGGACACGCTGGAGAGATTATATCTCTCGGCTGGCCTGGGAACGCCTTGGTGTTCCCCCGATAAGCTGGAGGAGGTGGCTGGGGAGAGGGAGGTCTGGGCTCTTCTGCTTAGGCTGCTGCCCCCGTGACCCGGCCCCGGATAAAGCAGATGAAGAAGATGGATGGATGGATGGATGGAATATAATAATAAAAATGAATAAATACAAAGGTCAGGCTTGAGGGCGACGTCTCACCTTTTTTTATTGCTCCTCATAAAACAGGACATGGAGACGATAGCTGATTGCTTCATGTTTTTTAAAACCTTTTAAAAACAGAAATGAAAAGAAAGAATAAAGATGTAATTCAGTTTTATTTATACAGCATCAAATCACAACAACAGTTGCCTCAAAGTGCTTTATACTATGAGGTAGATCCTACAATAATACATACAGAGAAAAATCCAACAATCATATGACCCCCTATGAGCAGCACTTTGGCGACAGCAGGAAGGAAAAACTCCCTTTTAACAGGAAGAAACCTCCGGCAGAACCAGGCTCAGGGAGGGGCGGGGCCATCTGCTGAGCCAGTGGTTGTTGTAAACAAACTTATAGCAGCATCTGTACATCATGTTTTTAAATCCATAACAGAAGTCTGTATTTCTCACAGCCAAAGCAGAAAACAAAGAACCACATGAAACAGAAATAAGATGGAGCAAACAGGTGTGGGTTCATCAGAACGGTGTGGGCCCAAGGTTGGAGCCACTGACACCTGTGGCTGTGGGAGGGGCTATTAAATGATGGGCAGATGTAACCCATAAGGTCACGTTGGTGTAGAGGCCCGACTTCGTGTTCATGAATGTGACGGCAGCTCTGAGGTCCTGCTGATCTCATCGTGTTAAAACTCTGAGTCATGTTTTTACTTTTGGTATCACATTTGGGGATTCCCCACTCAGTTTTTACTTTCATTTGGTACCTGTCCAGGTACTTTACCATACTTCAGCCAATCAGAGACCTGCAGCATAGTGGCGTGCCTTGACCAAAGGTCTATTCTATTCTATTCTATTCTATTCTACAGACTGCACAGGGTCAGAGCAGACGTTTTGGAGCAGGTAAGCAGATATTTTGTCTTTCTGAAAAGTTCCTTTGTTAGTTTGTCCACATGATGAGCAGGCTGGTCCATCACTGGACATTCATACATTATGGTGTAAATGTCATCAACATTTTTACCAGCCGTTGAGAGCAGGTGATGCACATGAAGTATGAATACAAACAGCAGCTAGTTGTTGTTGGGATTTTATTGAGGTTTGAATCAGACAAACAAACGACGTCTATGACGCAGCAACGTTCTTCGGTCAGTTTGAGGACACCGGTGTGCAAAGAGTGTTTGTTGCCTAGCAACGAAATTATCTTTAACTGAACTCTGATCATTTTCACTGCAAACTTTTTAAAATACTGAAGATAAACCAAGAGTCTATATTTATTTAGCTGAGATCTGACCAACATGATGTCGATTTTTAACCACAGCAAGCGCCTGAAGGACAACGCTAAAGACAGTCAAGCTTCTGAGGAGATGGACAGAGACGAGGAACTGGAGTAAGTCTGGAAGCAAAGAGTGAAATGAAACGAGGAGATTTTGGCTTTATTTTGTTTCAGGATCCATCTGTGGACAGATTAAATGTTTGTTGTGCTTAAAATGTTTTTTCCATAATTCCTGTTTCAGAAGATTGTTTCAGAGGTTACGCGTATTTAAACACTACAGAGCAGACAGACTGAGCAGCTGTGATGAAAGGCAAAGGCTGACAAAGCTGGCAATGAGAAGCTGCACAGATGAAGTCGTCCTGCAGTGGCTGAGAAAAAACTCAGAGTCTGACGCCTTCAGCAAACTCACAGACGTGTTCGACTTCCTGAAGAAACGCATTGATGAGGAGGAGAAGAAGAACCACAGCGATGATGTTCACATCACCTTTGTGGCTCATGGAGCAATCGGAGACTTCATGATCCCAGCCAGCTGTTACCTGCCTCTGCCCACCATCACTGACGTGCTCCTGTATTCTCCCTGGAACTGCGTCACTTCTGGTTTAGCGTACGGTATCGCTACAGGAAAACTGAGGCCTCAGCACAGAGTTTTTTACTGTAACGATAAAGAAAGCTGTACCATTCCTGATGACAAACATCGACCTGTGAACCTGCCAGATCACTGGAACTCACTGAAGAAAGCTGGAGCACAGATGGTCCCAAACATCACGCTTAGCCCTCTTAGAGATGATGATGGAGTGTGGAAATACTTTGAGTCTCTCTCAGCTAAACACGGCCCACCAGGAAGGAACCGCATCGTCATCCCGTTCATCCTCCCAGGACGGGAATATGAAAGCGTCCCGTTCTCTGTGGTGACCTTGGCTCTGTCCCTGGTGCTCCTCTCCTCCAGGTTTAAAGCCACTCTTCACTTCTCTGGTTGTCTCAGTGATCGCTCTACTGGAGCGAAATTTGACAGGAAGTATCTTCAGGAGCAGTACGCCTGCACCATCGACAACAGCTGGATGAAATGTTCACCTGAAGCTTTCAGATGATGATACGTGCTGCTTGTGTTAGACATGTTTGTGGACATTTTAGTGTAAAGATGAAGATGAAATGATAAAAGTAATTTTTCTATATTTGAGGCTCAGCTTCATGATGAAGGGACTTGAATCATCATTTAGAAATGTTCCAGCACCAGGTTTAAACTGACGTCTTCATTCAGTGTATCAGAAGCATATTTGGGTTTAAAGTGGTTCAGACACCTGTTCATAATCTGCTAACTTCTGTGGAGGTTATTAATATAAACAGACTCACCTGTTCTCGCTGCTCACAGGTGACGTGATACTGATTTATGTACATCAGGTTACATTGCACTGCGTGTTATACTTGTATAACTATGCATGTGACGAATAGAGAATCTTGAATCTTGTATTATGTAATATTTGGGTCTTTTATTGCTTCATGTGAGGGTTTAAATTCTGTACCAGAACAAAAAGTTCTGAGCCACAGCTTTCTAACTCTGAACCGTCTGTCACGTACCAAACATAGAAGTAACACAAGTCTACAAGTTGTACGTCTGTATTTTCATGCCTGCAGACTCGGTAATTATTTCTGATCTTTTGTTATTGTAAACCATGAAAATGTGAAGATGATGTTGTTTAAATGAAGAAGAACAGGATGAAAACCTGAAGCTGCTCATTAAAAACAATATCGTTTATATAAAATGTGCCTCGATCACTGGAAGAACATGTTGATGGCAGATACATGGAGCTCCACATGTGGCGGCTTTAAGAAATCCCAGCAGTGTTTGAAACAAAGACTCTACAGATCAAACCCATGAAGTTTATAGTAGTTACATGTCAATAAATGCTGAGTGAACAACACACACGTGCATACACACAAAAACAGAGTTGCAATGCCACCAGGAGCAGGTTGTGCTTCAGTATCTTCCTCAAAGACATCTCCACTTGAGGAGTGATAGAGGACTGCAAACCCTACTGACGGCCCGGCCTGAGCCTCGTCTGATGCATTCAGATGTGAAGATGTGGTTACGCATCAGTAAAGAAGCATTATGTAGGAATCATTAAATCAGGTGACTTACAGGAATCGGGATCTGTGTCATGGTCCAAACAGACACGTGACATGAACGTGATAAACTCACACAGCTGCTGTTGCTGAAGGCGTTCCTGTAAATGGTTTGGAAATCACCCCTGTGACTCCAGCAGTGCATGCCGTAGTTTCTCTTTCACTTGGTGACGCTCCAGGTGTTTCCCTCGTGCTACGTCAGACTGAGCCGGCCAATCAGATGAAGGATGCAGTTCATAAAGATCCTCCAAAGCTAGTACGATGAGGTCTTCTGTTTAGTGGCCTCTCTGACTCTGCATTCTCTAAATCGTTATGATGATGATGATGTCATCATTAAGATGTAATGGCCCTTTCCCATTGGTATCTACTTGGAAAGACTCGGTGCGGTTTTCAGTGTTTTCCATTAGGTCATAGTACCAGGTACCAGGTACTTTTTAGCACCTTCTCGGCCAGGCTTCCAAGCGATCCGAGCAGGTACTAAAATGTGACGTTGTCATACTGCATGAAACCGATTGGCTGGTCAGTAGTGCCACTCGATGAGTCATGAGACCATCTCATTTACAAAAATCAAAACTATGTTCGCTTTGATGTCCACCTTTGTTATCGTTGCATAATAATCACGTCCCGGGACATGTTGCTATGACAACTAGCTCACACACTGGGTTGTAACGGAAAACTAGTCGTGGCCAGTTGATCCAAGTAGCCCCCTAAATAGAAAGGGGGCTTAGTCACTGAGCTCATTCCTGAATGATGGCCTCATCAGTGGACTGAGCTCTACTGTCAGCAGGTTATTGATGTGCTGATGTCAACTTGACGAGCCACAGAAGAGTAACGAATTACAGAATCATGTTTTCATTTCATTCCTAAATTAATTTTTCATCATTTTCACAAATATTAATTATGCACCAATTTTCTGAATGTTGTCCTTGTCAAGAGACGTGGGACAGAGAGAGATCGTCCCCCGGCCACCCCCGTCATCACATTTAGCAGGAAAAAGGTCTAAACATCCAACTTTATGCATTAAAAAAGGATCAGAACCAGCAACAGAACCACATCATCCGCGAAAAGCAGAGACCACCCAACTGAAAGCCTTCCACACTTGGCTACACCTAGAAATTCTGTCCATAAAAAGTTATGAACAGAAACGGTGACAAAGGGCAGCCCTGGTAGAGCCCACCCACCGGGAACGCGTTCAACTTATTGCCGGCTGTGCGGACCAAGCTCTTGCAACGGTTGTATAAGGATTGAATGTCCTGTTGCAATGGGCCAGACAGCCCATACTCCTGAAGCACACTGTATCCGATGTTCGACTAATGGACGGACTCTCCTCTCCAGCACCCTGTCATAGACCTTCCCAGGGAGGCGGAGGAGTGTGATTCCCCTGTACTTGGAACACACCCTTCGTAAAGAGGGGACCACCACCCCGGTCTGCTAATACAGAGGTAACGCCCCTGATCTCCACGCAGCATTGTAGAGGCGTGTCAACCAAGAAAGCTCTTCAACATCCAGAGCCTTCAGAAACTCAGGGCAAACCTCATCCACCCCAGGGGCTCTGCCACCAAGGCCTCGTTTAACTGCCTCAGTGACAACAATGTATCAATGAAATCTAATTAAAGTAAAGTTGCATAAACTGAATGAAACATGAGGTTGAGTATGTGACTGAATGCCATGGTCCAGGGTGTTTCCCAGTGTTTTGTGTTTGACTTATGTTTTCTGATTATTGGTACCCCTCAACAAATATAAATACAGATACAAATACCGGCTGCTTTGCACATCTCTACCTTCAACTGATTCGATTTTACATTATTGATCTTGACGTATTGTGACAGCTTGTGTACACTGCATGAGGAGGGTGTTAAAGTGTCTTGTGCTGTAGCGAGGCCAGAAGGATCAGGACATGAGAATGTGCTAACGAGTCCTGTCTCAGTCACTTAACGACAGTGTTGGTCAAGTTACTAGAAAAAAGTAATCAGTAACTAATTACTGATTACTTCCCCAAAAAAGTAATCCCTTTACTTTACTGATTACTTATTTTCAAAAGTAATTAATTACTTAGTTACTTAGTCACTTAGTTACTTTTAAAAACACGATTTACAACCTGAATAGGTGATAAAGTGATAGATCTTTCAGCCCAATTCTACTTTTTCTGTATAATCCATCATACAAAATGTAATCAAATGGAAAAGTCTCTTTTTAAAACTTGTTTTATTAGTTTTAATCTTTTAACTTTATGCATCAAGCAAAAATTTTATTATCTGCAACATTCTCTGACTGGAAGAAATTAGTTTAACATTTAAACCTATTTTCTGCACATTCCAGCACATAAAATAAAATATTTTTTGTGTTTACACTCAGTCTTTCAAATAGATGCAAGTGAAACACAGCAGAAAATAAATAAAGTCAAAGACTCAGCGGCCCTGTTGCTCTATTTTCACCTGTAAAGCAGGAGTGGGGTAGGCGGAGGTTTACCCTGGTGTAGGTGTGCCGCGGTCAGTGGAAGAATCCGTGAGTTTCTCTGTGAGTTTCCCATTACGTCGTAGCTACTCGGTGCTTGTTGGAAGTTTAGGGGTTTTTTTCGCTGTAAAAAGAAGTTTTCTTCCCACGCACAGCGGACACTAATGTTTTTGTCACTTTTTATGGAATCAAACTCAAAGTAAGGTCAGTACTTCCACACTTTAAACGCTGCACGCTCATACTCTCTCTGCACTCGATATGTGATCCATTGTTGATCTGCACACAGCTGTTGTCACGAACGTCGCACTCGCTTACGTCACTGTCATGAGACATTCTCGCAAAAAATCACGGTTTTAGTAACGCAGTAACACAGCGTTCCTACGGGAAAGTAACGGTAATCTAATTACTGTTTTTGCAATAGTAATCCCTTACTTTACTAGTAACTTTACTCGTTACTTGAAAAAAAGTAATCAGATTACAGTAACGCGTAATCGGTACTGCCCATCTCTGCTTAACGATGATGGGGGGGGGGGGGGGGGGGGGGGGGGGGCTGATTCAACACACGAATGGCCCGAGGATAAAAACTCCTCTTGAGCCTCTCTGTTCTTGTTCGGATGGTGTGGAACCTTCTGCCTGATCTCAGAAGCTGGAACAGCTCGTTGCTGGGATGGGACGGGTCCTTCAAGTGCTCTAGTCCAGCATCTCCTGACGTAAATGTCCTGTAGGGACGGGAGAGCAGTCCTGCGGCAGCGTTTTGCCGTACGGATCACTCTCTGAAGAGCTTTTTTATCCTTGACACAGCTGTTCCCATACCAGGATGTGATGTTCTGTGTGAGGATGCTCTCCACAGCGCCTGCATAGAAAGTCCTGATGATCACTGGAGAGACCCCGAACTTCCTATATAGCATGATCAATTGTATCAAACGCCTTTTTACAGTCTATAAAAACTAGAGATGGACCGATCCGATATTACGTATCGGTATCGGTCCGATACTGACCTAAATTACTGGATCGGATATCGGAGAAAAATAAAAAATGTAATCCGATCCATTAAATATCACGGAAGCACCTCACAAAACTTGCAACACGCCGTAACTCACCTCAGAACGTTAGCACGTCGGAGCAGTATGCATCACGTGATAGAGTGGCTGTGGCATGCGGGACCTGTAGGTGGTCTGGATAGCATTTGGAGCTTCGCTAGCAACCCGGCATTTCATCTCCGACAAAGTTATCCCCGAGAGAAGTAAAGCAAGTGTGTAAGTCCATCTCTGAATGTTTGTAAAGCATTCCTGCGTTAAGCTTAACGAGCGACTGCCTCTCGCTCTCCGGCTGCTACTTCAATCATGAAACTGCTTAACGATCAGCTGATCGGCTTTTCTGTCGCGAGTCCGTGTCTCTTGTTTGTTTTTGGCCCACTTTGCACCAGAAAGAGGAAACCAGCGGCTGAACAACAGCAGCACGTTTAAGCTTGATCAGCTGTTGTTAGAATGTATTTAATATTACTTTCTACACCAGGATCTTTTTCTACGTAGCTGACGCTGGTAACTGTGCAGGGGCGGATCTAGCAAAGTTTAGCCAGGGGGGCCGATAGGGCATGAACAGGGAAAAGGGGGCACAAAGACATACTTTTCTTTCTTATTCTCATTTAAAATGTCTAGCTTTTAATAAATAATTATCTGACACTCAAAGTTTTAATTTGATGTAAAATGAATAGAAGTCAATTACTGTATATAGTGACTATTAAGTCTAATATATATACCCTAGTAAGCTATAGTACTTTTTCCTTTGGGAAGGTACCATCTGTGCAGTCTGCAATTTTGTTGAAGAAAGATGTTGAATCTATTTAATATTTCTTGAAAAATAATTGATTTCTGTGCATTTTTTTCACACTGCATCAAATTAAGGTTGATTACGTCGATTAAGCATCATGAGGTGGCGCGTGAGGGGTGGTTCCCTATTTTTTATTTATTTATTTTTGTTGTTGCTGGGAGTTGGAACCCTATTAGTTAGGTTGCTTAATATTTACGGCATTGTAAAGCGCTTTGGGTGCCTTGAAAAGCGCTATATAAATGCAATCCATCCATTATTACAGTACTGGGTGAGTTACACCAATTAAAGTCCTACTACTGTTTTCAAGTTAAATCTATATTTGAATAAGCTGCTGAACAACATTGTATCCA